TTTGGCATTAGTAAAGCTAAAGATGCATGGTAAACTCTGAAGAAATAATTTTAAGGGAATAATAAAGTTGTTTCTATTAGACTTCAGTCACTTTGGAAGAACTTTGATTGCTTGACAATGAAAGAATCAGAAAGCATCAAAGAATTTTTCTCCAGGGTTACTGAAATTGTAAATCAAATCAGAGCTTATGGCGATCAGATTGAAGAAAAGAAGATAGTGGAGAAGACTCTCAGAAGTCTACCACCAAAATTTGATCATGCAGCTGCAGCAATCGAAGAATCAAAAGATCTCTCAATTCTGAGCATGTATGACCTATGTGGTTCCTTAGAATCACATGAAGAAAGAATGAAGAGATCCTCAGGTCAGTCCTTGGAGCAGGCCTTTCAATCAAAGGTCATTTTGGGACAAAAAATTCAAGAGAAGAGGGGAAACTTCCAACATCAAGATCAGTTTCAAAGGAGTCGAAATAACCAGCCTCGAGGGCATGGAAGAGACCGAGGCAAGAGCAGAAATACTCAACTTCAAAGAACAAGCAATCAGGGACAGAATTGCATAATATGCAAGAAGTCCAATCACACTTCAGCTGAATGCTATTTAAGGTGTAAAAGGTGTCAGGTTCCAAATCATTCAGACCAAGACTGCTGGCACAAGAAGAATGAAAGTTCAGAAGCTAATTTCAGCAAAGAGAATGATGAAGAACAAGTGTTTTTAACTTGTCTCGATGCTGAAAGCAGAAAGGACCAGGTTTGGTACCTTGACAGCGGTTGCAACAGCCATATGACAAATGACCGCGAGTTATTTGTTAATATTGATGAAAATTTCTCAAATTCTGTCATTCTTGGTGATGGAAAATCTGAAAGAGTTGAAGGAAAAGGAGTAATTGCAGTTCAGTCCAGATCTAGTGAGCAAAAGTTCATTCATGATGTTCTTTACGTCCCAACTCTTGCTCACAATCTCTTAAATGTTGGGCAGTTGATTCAGAAAGGATATCGGGAAGAAAATAAGTGCAGAGTTATAGACAAGAAGAACCAGCTGATGGCTAAGGTTGAGATGACTCGCAACAAAGTTTTTCCACTCTCCATTAACTATGCAAGACCAGTGGCCTTGAAGGGTGAAATTTCAGACGAATCTCAACTATGGGATCTCAGATATGGCCATTTAAATCATAAGAAACTGCAGCTAATTAAGCAAAAGGATGTGGTTCGTGGTCTTCCCCAAATAAATCAAATAGAAGGAGTTTGTGAAGGCTGTGTCTACGGGAAGATGCACCATCTTCCTTTCCCAACGACTTCTTGAGAGCCAAAGCTCCTTTGGAGCTTGTTTATGCAGATATATTTGGTCCCACAAGAACTCATCACTTGGGAATAAAAGGTGCTTCATCCTTTTTGTCGATGATTATACTAGAATGGTTTGGCTGTATTTTATTCAACAAAAATCAGATGTCTTCTCAAAATTTCTGAAATTCAAAGCCCTTGTTGAAAGACAAAGTGGGCTGAAAATGAAGACCTTAAAAACTGATCGTGGAGCTGAATTCATCTATCAACCATTCATGGATTATTGCAAGAAAGAAGGCATTCAAAGGAAATTAACCGTGAGCAGAAGCCCTCAGCAAAACGGAGTTGCTGAAAGAAAGAACAGAACCATTGTTGAGATGGCTCGGAGCATGTTAATAGATAAGGAGCTTCTTAATTCTCTTTTGGCTGAAGCTATACATACTACTGTTTATATCTTAAACAGGTCTCCAATAAAATCAGTAAGGAACAGAACTCCCTATGAAGCTTGGAGTGGGAGAAAGCCAGAAGTTAGCCATCTAAAAGTGTTTGGTTGTCCAGCCTACTCACTCAACAAGGCTCCAAATAAAGATAAGTTCGATCAGAAGGGAGAGAAGCTTCTGTTCATTGGATACAGCGATGAATCTAAGGGCTACAGGTTGCTAAATCCTGTTAATAACAAGCTGACAGTGGCAAGAGATGTCATCTTTGATGAAAGAGCAGTATGGCAGTGGAATTCCAGCAGCCAAAATTCATCAAATATTCAAGATTTTGCTCTAGCTGAAGCATCAAGAACCGAATCAGCTGCTGAAACTCAAAATCCAGCAACTTTAGAAGCTGGAACTACAGCTCAGAGCTCAAGTTCAGGATCTGAAAGTCCAGATAATGAAGGGACTTCATCTTCTTCACCTATTCTAAGAAGATTTGAAAGAGTTAGAAGACCGCCAGAGAGGTATGGCGATTTTAGAAGCTATTTCTCCAATGAAAATACAGACTTTGCTCTTCTCTTGTGAGCCACAGATTTTTGAAGAAGCTGTAAAGGATGAAAAGTGGCAAAAGGCCATGGAAGAAGAATTGAACATGATTGATAAAAACGATACTTGGAATCTTGTAGATCCTCCCAAAGGGAAAGACATTATTTGTCTTAAATGAGTTTACAAGACCAAGTACAATGAGGATGGTTCCATTCAAAAGCACAAGGCTAGGTTAGTGGCCAAAGGCTATTCCCAACAGCCTGGAGTAGATTTCAACGAGACTTTTGCACCAGTTGCAAGAATTGAGACAATCCGACTTGTTCTTGCAATTGCTGCCCAATTGGAGCTAAATGTGTATCAAATGGATGTCAAATCAGCTTTCCTTAATGGAGAACTGAAAGAGGAAGTTTATGTGGAGCAACCACGTGGATATGAAGTCAAAGGCAAAGAAGAGAAGGTGTACCGGCTGAACAAGGCATTGTATGGCCTCAAACAAGCTCCACGAGCTTAGAATAGTAAGATTGATTCTTACTTTCAGAATTCAGGTTTTCAGAAAAGTTTTCATGAACCAGCACTTTATTTTATGAAAAATGAAGCTGATTTTATCATAGTCTGCTTGTATGTTGACGATTTGATTTACTTTGGGAGCAATCATCACAGTCTGCTTGTTTGCTGATTTTAAGCACTCAATGATGAGGAACTTTAAGATGACAAACTTAGGAATCATGAAGTACTTCCTTGGGATGCAAGAGAAGCAAGGAAGAGAGGATATTTTCATTTCCCAAGAAAAATATGCAGCTGACATCTTGAAGAAATTCTACATGAAGGATTGTAACGCTGTAAGTACTCCTATGGCTTTAAATGAAAAATTGAACTCTAATGATGGAGCTAAGAAGTTTGATGAAAATCAGTACAGGAGTCTAGTTAGATCTCTTATTTACTTGACTCATACTAGACCGAATATCACTCAAGCTGTTAGTATGTTGTCAAGATTCATGCATAGCCCAAGTGTGCCTCATTATGCAGCAGCAAAAAGGGTACTAAGGTACCTAAAAGGCTCATTGCAACTTGGTTTGAAGTATGGCAAAGATTCCAAGTTCACTTTGATTGGTTTTACCGATAGTGATTGGGCTGGATCTACTGATGATAGAAGAAGCACATCAGCCTATATTTTTTGCCTTGGAAATAGCACCATCTCATGGTGTTCTAGAAAGCAAAACACTGTTGCTTTGTCATCTACAGAGGCTGAATATACTTCAGCAACAGAAGCTGTTTGTGAAGGAGTTTGGCTAAGAAAATTGCTCAATGATTTAGGACTGGAGCAGGAGGGTCCTACAACTATTTATTGTGACAATATGTCTACAATTGCCCTAACAAAAAACCCAGTTTTTCATGCTAGAGAAAAGCATATCGAACTCAGACATCATTTTATTCGTGACCTTGTGCAGAAAGAAGAGATACAGCTAGAGTTTATCAGCACCAATGAACAACCAGCAGACATGCTCACAAAACCTATTACTACTGAGAAGTTTTGACATTCAGAGACATGTTGGGACTCACTGTTTTAGAGGGGAATTTGTGAGGAAAACCATGAGTCAAAAGTCATTTTTTGATTTTCAAGGAGTTGGTTGTCATTCATTTAATTCTCTGCTATTTTTCTAGGCTTGTTTAATGTTTTTGCTAAGTCCCTATAATGTTAAATTCTCTATGTAATTTCCTATGTACAGCTTCTATATAAAGCTGTGTATAGCCCTTTCAAATTCATAGAAAATAAAAAGAAATCTAATTCTTCTCTTAAAAAGTGCAGCAGCACTCTATCACTTAAAAAACTTCAGTAATTCTACTTCTATCTCGATTTCCCAACAATTGCTGCAAAATATAGAGTTAAGAGAGAGAGACAAAATGGCTAACAGAGTTCAAGGAAACAAATTTGTGAAAACATAAATCTATAGATGTTGTTTCAACATTACGATAATTACAAGTTAAAAAAAAAAAAAAAAAAAACGATCAAACACTGGAAACCTTGCTGAAGAAACCGAATGAGCTTATTAAGAAGCAATGGTCCCGCAAAACCAATACAGTCATTGAACACCTGTGAAAAGTTAAAAATTTTCATTGTAAATGTATATACATTATACTCTCTGATGCTTGAGAGCTATTTAATGAAAAATATTCACCATTTTTCTTGTTACATGTTTTTTCCTCTAATGAAGCATAACTTCATCATCAAAGAGCTCATGCTCTCAGACTTTTGAGGAAGAAAAAGCATTTCCTGGCTACATTAGTTCCAGCAACCAAAATGCTCTCCCAAGTACTGTGTAGAATAATATCCAAACTCTTGGTTTATGCTTCCTTTTCATCTTTTCCTTTCTTAATTTTGTGTTTTGAGAGTTTCAATGAAAAAGGCACATTCTTATTAAGTTTCAAGACACAAATATGGATATCTTAATCTACATATTTTCAACAATATGTTTTCATCATCAGTAATGAGGGAGTTCTAGTTGAGAAACTTCAGTCGGTGAATCAAAAGATGAGACAAAATCACTATGATGATAAAGGGAAGTGACAGGGAAGGAAATTATAAGAAAGAGTTAGATCAGTAATCCACAATTCAAATGAAAAATGTGCCCACTGTATGTATCTTCTCTAACACACAGATGGGCAATGATGCTAAACCAGAATCAGCATCTTATTTTTTATAGTAATATTTAGCATATCAGCAATTATCTCATAACAGGAATTTATGTTGAAGAAGTTAAATTACCTTTAACAGACCAAGACGAAGATATGGCCATCCGTATGCACAACAGATTGCTTTAAAGAAGAAGGGGTTAGAGCTACTCTGCTGAACTCTCCAGCAGCTTAACAATTTATCATGACAGGAAGAAGGTTCCATGTCACTAGGTAGCGAAAGTAAATCCTCAAAGCCAAGCTGCTTTATGACTCCATGATTCATCACAGAAGTGATAGTTTTGAATGTCATGTGATCCCAATAGCTCATAGCATTTCCCTTGACAAAACATGAAGCACAAATAATCACTACTACTTTACTTTCAATGTATGAAGAAAATAACAAACAACACCAAAGAGAAGGCACCTTATTATATAAGGGCCTCGACTCAACCATGTAACTGACACTGAATTACTCATAAAAGAAGAAAGGAAACAGTGATTGACTATTTCTTGGGTAGTAATACTACGATCATCCTTTTTCCAAAAGTAGATGTGATTATTAAAAACACCAATGGTAATCATAGTAAGCCAATATGCAGCATACCATACTGATCTAACGAATTATGAGCTTACCAATACCCAAGATATGCAATAAAGCAATTAAGGATGATAGATTGATATGTTAACCAGGCTTGCAAAAATAATATATCTAATATGGGTTTAGGTCTTATATATACAAGATAAGACCTTTAAAGAAAACTCAAACCATATTCTGACAACAGCACAAATCAAAAAAATAAGAAGTATCAGTAGAAAAAAATTAGGGGAAGAAAAGCAGGAAATGCTTTAGAAAATAGATGGAGTTGCTATATGAAGACTACAACAAAACACACATATAGGAAATCTTATAGAGGTCCTTAATCTCCTTCTAGATATTAAATAGATTGAACCAATTTCAACAAGTTATGTTAAAGTTTTTCATCTAGTTTATAATGCTTCCACAAGTTTTCTCTAGCCCTTACAAGACACAACTATTTGGAAACATCCTCATGGAAAGAAACTATTGAACATTTACAGTCGCATTCAGAAGTTAGTTTATAGTGGTTCGTAAGTTCTTGTTCCATGAGACACTTTCTTAGGAAATATTGTTTGAAAACCTAATGTGGTGTTAAATGGATCTAAATCAACAAATGTTTGATATCTACAAAGCACACCACAATATGATAAGGCATAAGCAGTAACTTTTTTCATCAAGTTCAGGTCTCCCAAAAGATCAAAAGGTCAAAAAAAAAAGGAAAAAAAAATAGGGCATCATAATCATGAAGTTCTGCAACAACAAAGCTTTCAATGTTTAGCAATACATTGTCAGATTTTCCTAGTAGAAATATTTAGTGATTATAGATTAAAGCAACTATGAATAAAAAGCATCAAACAATTTTAACTTCTAAAAGAAGAAGGAGAAAACACAAATCCTGCACAGGAAACTTACAAAAACAACAAATTACTTACAAAGTCCCCATGAAAACCCTCCTCGATGTCTGTGTTGACAGAAAGAAGTTGATCTTCCAATGAACTACAAGTTACATTATGGTCAGTGGAACCAAATATTTGAAAATGGACATGGTCAATAGTTCATGTATATACAGAATACAACAAGGAGAAATAGGAGACTAGACGATGCTCCCATCCTTTAGGGATGCTACAAGCAAAAAATTGACTGGTGATACCTGCTCTTGGCAGATTCCCGTTTTATCCTGATAATGTTGATGGACATGCTAAACACGACATCCAACAAAACAACAGAACTCTCTTTAAGGCATTTCATGACCTGCGCCCAAAAAAGTTTCAAGTAATTTCCATTCCGAAAAAAGAAATATTACATGCCTAAAAGTCTAAACACCATACGTATTTCTGAGGAATTTTACATAAAGTTATGATTTCTGTTTTGCCAGAGACAATAAAAGAGTACTTAGATATCTGATTTCTTTAATATCTGAACAAAATAATTATCCACTGTAACAAAAAGCAACAGAACAACTCAATTAGGAATCAAATATTATGCAATAGGAAGAATGAGAATAATAATGGAAATAGTATTACCTCCATCGAACCAAATGCTCTACTCAGATGAAAGATTCCTAATAGTGATTTCATGATCCACCAGAAACATAGGAACCGATTGCAAAAAACATCATGTACACAGGCACACTTAGAGGATATTATGATAACCGTCTGCATGAATTTAAGAAAGCGATTTAACTAGAAATCTTAAGTTAATGCAACAGAGCTCATGATAGCAAAACAAACAACTTGAGAATAGAAAAGCTTACCCAAACTATCAATTGAGAACTTCTGAAAAGCCACTCATGATATACAATAAAGTCTTCATGAAGTTCTTTCTTCACAAGCAAAACCAGGTCCATAAATGACACAGATGCTCCTAGTAAAGGAAGAAAATGAAAAACAATCTTTTCTGTACAACTTATCTGCACAATCGCTATAAAACCATTAGTACATTAAAGTTTTAACAGCTACTTTGAAGGAAAATCTACACACCCTACTCAAGAACGAAACAAATTCAGATTGACCATCAGTGCTTCATTCAGGGGAAAAAAAAAACAGAGAGATTAAAAGTCAAGGGGCATTTAATACACTACAAATCTGCACTGGATAACAGACAGTGAAGTATAAAATATCTAGATGTTCAAGTTCAACAAGTGGGGGTTGCAGTACAGAAACAATATTAAAAAAAAAAAAAAAAAAAAAAACCACTAAGGAAACATAGAAAAGTATCATTGTTTAATAATGATCCATCATTCAAGAAGGTTTCTTGGTTAGCCAAAAAAAACACTTACATCCCTAGTAATATTCTAGTATGAACGCTTTGTGGTTAAATTGAAGGATCAAGTATGGACGAGTAATCTTAAGATGTTGAAGGACATTTTCCATACAGTATGAATAAGAAATACTCAAAATTTTTCCACGAACACAAAATGTCAGACAATAAAGAAAGAGAGCTTCAAACACAGACTGCGGAAAAAATTCAATAACACTCGAACAAACTTCTAATTATACTAAATGAGCTTATGATTCCGTCATGATTAATCTTCAACTACACTGACCTTTAATAAAAACAAACCAAATGATCATCAAACCCTGAATTTTTTTTTCTTTTACATTTTCAGCAGCCAAATAAATCAAATGTGCAAAGGTTAAAGAACCTACCCTGTGAATTCGACTGGCATTACTCCGAGTAATTGCAAGCAAAGCAATTATAACAATAGTCATCACATTCATTCCAAATCCTAAAACCGTAAGCACTGTTAAGTAAAACCAAATTATAAAAGCAGAATCAGAGTAATTACATTACAAACAAACCCTTAATCTATATATATAAAAAAAGGATATATGTTATCAAAACACTCCGAGAAAGTATTTCCCTCCCATACCTGAAAAGCCAAGAACAATTTAAAAATTGTAAATTACAATCAGAAATCACACAGAATTTCATTTCAGAAAAAAACCTCCAGCCTGTTAATTGCATTACATCTTCTTTTTGCAAGCAGAATTAAATTAATAAGTTATTTAAATTTTTTCTAAAATTTAAAGCGCTTTAACACAATTTGTAAAGTGACAGAAATAAGTAAACAATATTTCTGGATAATATTTCTTATAAAAAAGAGAAAAAAGAAAACTCGTTTGTTTTGGAAACTGGCTATCAAGAGTGGAAAAGTACATGAAAGTTTTGGAGTTCCCTACTTGGATGAAGTAAAGAAAGACATTCTATTCACAGAATAAACGGTTATGTATTGAGAAATCAAAAAACTCACTTTCTAGCTAACCAAACAGAAAATTCAAGCTTAAAAATAACTAATTGAACAGATTCGTAAAAACAATCTCTATCTTAGCGAAAAAAGAAATCGAAGGAAATTATTAAGAAAGAAGGAGGCTTGTGGAGTAGAGGGAGAGAAGAGTACGTACAAAGGGAGAATTAGGGCAAATGAGAGATTTCTTGAATTCCATTCTCTCTGATGATCTTACTCTTTTTGGAGCAAACGACAGGAGAGAACTTTTTGTGTAGGCAAACAGAGAGAGCCAAGAGCAGAGAGAAAAAGGGTTGAATTGTTTGCGCTTTTATAACTCCACGTGTCCCTCCTTAAGCTTTCACTTCGCTCGGTAATTTTTAACATAACCTAGGCATGGAAGGAAGTTTTGTTTTTCCTGCTTGAAAATTGAAATTAATGTTACCGGATATAATTGCATTTTCCCCTACCTAAAGTTCTGACACGTTTTGGTTAAACTACCAATTTAGTCAATTTTGTCCTTGAAGGCTTGAACTATTATCATTTATTGAATAAATATTATCCTTCTGTTTAATTTAACCTTTAGTATTAATCAAATATCTTCATAAATAATAATGAAACTTCAATCCACTTTCATAAATAAATTTCAATATTTTTTCAAAAGAAAATATTTTTTTCTAAATAATAAAAATTAAATGAATTATGAAAAATAGAAAATAAGATGGAATTATCTCAAATTGTTTTTAAGAGTCCTAAGAAAGTCATATGGATTTACATATGTAAATTTAGAACGATTCTCAAAATTTTTATATATGTAATTTCTAAGTTAACTTACTTTAAGGTTAATTAGTTTTTCCGCATTCGACCATATAAATATGTGAAAAAAAAATATTAAGACTAGGCATAAAAATTTATATGGTTTTTCTATCCTCCAACAAAATTTGAGGTTATTTCAAATTCCTTTCTATTTTTCATAATTTGTTGATATTTAATGTTTAAGAAAAATAAAAAATGCTTTTTGACCTCAACTTTTTTAATTGTTTTCTTAAGTAGATTAAATTTTTATTAGCATACGCGAAAAAATTATGCTCAAAATTATTTTTTAAAAAAGGAATTTTGATCAACTATAATAGTTAAGTTAATTAGAAGAACAATATTTTTCCGAAATATGATAGTTTATTGACGAAATTGACCAAGTTAATAATACAAACTTCAATGTACCACGACTCTAATAGTCCATAAGTAAAAAGTATCATTTAGATTGTTGTTACTTTATACGTGCTAGGGTTTGTTTGGAAATAATGTTTTTGGAGATTTTAACATGTATTTTTTTCAAAAGTAATTTTCAAAACTAATAGTTATAAGGTTCGAGTGGTGTTTTTGCTCTTGCATTTTGTGTTTAGTAATGTTATATTGAAAGTGTTTTTTTTATATATGTTTTTCATTTGAGAAAACATCAAATTTACAGTATTTTTCAGTAATTTTGAAAAAAAAATACAAAATTCAAATGGAAGATAAAATTTTTTAGAGAGTTCTCATATTGTTGCAAATGAAAGAAAGTATTCTACATCTGCCTTCTAAAATGTTATAGGCGCAAGAAAAGAAATATAGGAAAAAGAAAAAAAAAACTTCTTCCCATATAGGATAAATTGTTGCTTAAAATTAGTTTACAAATTCATTTATAGACTAATTCAACGATGATATGACATGCTTAAATGGACCTATGCGCTAACGTAAGAATTCATCTTATAGATCATGTTGCTATTGAGTATTGACTATTCTATAAAGTATAAATAATAATATCTTTATCCTCTACATTTTAGGTATTTTTAAAAATCCTTAACTCAAGAGTAGAACAACGTTAAATCCCGACGACCAAATGAGAGATTAAGAAAAAACATCATCCGCGCTTGAGGTCGCAGCCGAGTGACGAGGTTGAGGGTCACTCACCGATGACATCCGGGTTCGAATCTCTCCGTGCACGCCTATCACCCACGCGGTGCCTTACTTACCCACCGGGCTTGCAGGATGTTCAATGAGCCCAAAAATTAATCGAGATGCGCACATGCTCGCCCGAACATCCCGAATTATCAAAAAAAACATCATCCACAAAAATTCAGCCGTTGTGTTAAACCAGCACTCGTCTCTTTCTCCCGTCACTTTCTTTTCTCTTCCTTTAATTTTTTTGCCTCCTTACTGAACAATTTGCAAATATTCGGTGAGCATAGAGTATTTGTCAAGGATTTAAATTGGCTTTTTTATAGCCATACAGTGCGTTTGAGGCAGCTTTTCTCTCTCTTTTTCTTTTATTTTTCCCCTCAATGGACGAGGATGAATAAAGATCAATTAGTCCCATCATCATTTTGTTCCCGTTGACACTAAGAGGAAAAAAAAAAAAGATGGCATATTTTTTAAGATTCTCTTGCACTTTCAAGCAACTACAACGGCAAAAGGAAAGTGCTTCTTTTTGCGATCCATGTCGGAAAAGTGTTTATGATACGTTTTAGGATGGGAGTGGCTCTATAGAAAAAAGAAAATGCTTTTTCCTAAGGAATAATGTAATCGCACTCAATCACCATACCAATAGACCAATGGACAGGCACTGGAAAAAATATGTATTTTTTTTTCATTATTCAAGGTATTTTCAAATCCATTTTAAAAAACTAAATTATTTTCAAATTGGGTTTTAGCTAGATTATTCAAATATGAATTGATATGCATTTTTTTAAATGGTGTTTATATGATTTTTTTTCAACTTTTATTTATTTATTTTTACTGATAGGATTATTTTTAGGCTGATTTTTTTTTTAATAAAATACATGTATTATATTAGGGAATTCATGGGAACATTATTTTTTTTTCCCCAAAGCGTGTCTTGAGATTTGAACTTTGATGGTGAAAGAGATATAGCATAGAGAGAACATCTTTTTAGCTGTCAGGCCACCTCAAAGAGAATATCTTTTTAGCTGTGTGACCACCTCAAATTTCTCTTTTTCTTTTTTAATTAAAATCCAAGAGGATCTCTAGAATATATGTCCGGTGCTGTTAAATCCTCGCATGTTTTATTATTCTCATCAATTTTATTTTTATGAATTACTAATAAATTTTGATATTTAACTCCTATCTGATTATTAATTTAATATGTGATGGTGTGTTGATAATTTATAATAAAAATTTTGATAAAAATAACAAAATATCCAATGAATTTAACACTATCCTATATGTTCTAGTCTCTTCTTTAAACCTAGTAGGCTGCATATCATAACGCAGTGCTCTACATGCAATAATAATAAAATAAATAAAAATTGTAATCGATCCTAGCATTTTTTTTATGTCCAATTTATAATAATTTATTTGCAGACCACACAGCGTAAATGTGATAATATACAAAATAAATCTTGATTTTATCAATAATCATGTTTTTATGCATGGCATTTTTTTATTTTTCAAAACACCACCATTGCCGTAATAGAAGGCCTGACAAGAACAAAATAAGGTTCAAGTCCACCTACGACTGAGAGAGCGTATTGATAGCCCAATAGTTATACTTATAAACGTCTGAACCTGTACAGAAATAGCCCCAATCCTAACTGGGCTAAGCTCACTCCAAATAAGCCTCGGCATGTTTCACCCAATGGGATCATCAAAGGCCCATGCTTTTGTCAAGAATGTGGTGTTGGACTAGCGATAGTCCAATTAATAATAACGCTTGGTTAAATGGCTTGGTTAGACCCTCTACTGTTTTGATTTTGTTGATCCAGCCCCTCATCATTTTAACTTGTTAATTTGACCCTTATACTTCATGATATTAGGCACTTCTCCATTTCCATCCAAATCATGCGGTTAACTTTTTCACTGAAATAGTCGAGATTTCATTTAACAATACGTTTTTGGAGGGAGCAGCATGGTGTGGTCAAGCCACAAGCCATTTAGATGATAAAAAAATATAATTTACTTAATTTAAGGTTTTATATTCTAATTTTATTATTGATCTTCTTTGAAGAGATGATATATGCAAAGCAAGAGATGAGCACTGTTCGCTTTTAAATGAATCAAACTGTGTCAAATGGAAATACTAATTTCGGTATTTCGGTTTGATTTTTAACTCAAAAATTAAAGAAAAACAAATCAATTTTTTTTTTTGGTTTGTTTAATTTTTTAGAACTTTTTGTTTGGTTTAAACCAAAAAAGGAAATTTTTTAACATTTTTTCAAAATTTCTTTTTTCTTTTTTAAATTTTTAAATAAAAAAATAAAAAAAATCTAATATGTTAACATTATTCTAGATATAAGATACATTGATGATGTTTTTGTCTATTATACTAATTAAAAAAAATTTAAAAATCATAAAAATTTTGGTTTAGATCGAAACCAAAGCCTAATATTTAGGGTTTAAAAAGAAAAAATTAATAATAATTTCAGTTTATTTTTTATTTTTATAGGTTCAAGGTTTTTAAAAAGAAAAAATCTAATAATAATTTTGAGTTTATTTTTTATTTTTATAAATTCAATTGGTTATAAATAAAACTAAATTAAAACCATTGGTTTTACTATTCATTCATCATTTGAAATACTATTCACCCACGTTCATTTCACTATTCATACACTCTAAAAAAACTTTTTTTTTCACTATGTAATAGTATTTTTGTTATTTCAAAACATTTTTAATACATTTATAATTAAAATTTTCCTAACATTGTAATTTGGTACTTCTTTTTTAAATATAGTTTTTTTAATCTGTAAAATATTTTTTTATTTTGTTCAGTCCTTTTTTTGTTTTATTTTTATCACTTTAGTCCTTTTTGCTCTCATTTTTCTCATAAAAATGTTTTAGGCAAAAAAAATTAAAAAAAATTACAAAATAAATTTTTAATTAAGAATCAATTGATTTTAACATTTTTTATACTATTAAATAATTTTTTAAGAAAAAATTTATAAAAAATATAAAAAATAATCAATCAAATATAAAATTTAGTGTATTTTAATAGACACACAATATAATACAAAATGTCAAAAAAAATAATTTTATATATTTTGCTCCTAAAAAATATAGTAAAAACTAAACTAAAATTATTAAAAATCAAATCGAAAACCGAACGATGACCCTTCATCTGCTGACGTTCAGTTGATCTCTTTAAATCTTCGTGTGAAAAAAAAGATTGTTTTTAGGATAATTTTTGGAAAGGATCCGTCAGCGTATGTAATCCACAGACAAGCAGAACCTCTGTCACAAGTCACCACATCTCTTAACCAATCAAACTAACCGACTGAAACTGACCATGGCCATGCTACAAACAGCCTTCTCTTTCTCTTCCCTCTCTTCTCTCCCTCGTTCCTCTCTTTCACTCCTCTCCTCCACTCCACTCTCCTCTCCATCCCCAACTCTTTTGAAACTTTCTTACTCTACAAAAATCCAATGTACCAACACCGACAAACAACAACAGGCACAAACAACTCGAAGTTATGATCCCAAGAGTGGAGTTGCTGTTTACAAGCCTAAATCCTATGAAGTTCTTGTCACTGATGCTGCCAACTCTCTTGCCTTTGCTCTTCAAGATGGAAAAATCCGCCTTGAAATCGATTTCCCGTAAGCCCATTTCCTCTTGTATCTGTATATTTCTGTTTTTAGTTTATATGAAGTTTTTTGTTTCACGGTTTTTTAGGTGCCCATTTGTTTATCTTGACTTGAATTTTTATTTTTAGCAATACCCGTCTCGTAATTTGCACGTCGCATCATGAAAGTAAGTTCCTTTCCACGGAGAAGGAAAAAAATATAGTTTTTTCGATGATATAGTCTTACATCTTGTTTTTGTTCTTGAATTGTAGAAAGAAACATTTTCTATGTGAAATTTAGTTTAGTTGAGAAAGAAATGCTTAAAAATTCAAATTTATAGTTCATGAATTAGTTTCTTGTGCGAAAAATTGTAAAAGATTTAGGATCAACAAAAAAATAAAAAATAAAAAAATTTGACCCTAAAGATGACAGATTGCATGAAAAGGATATTTGAACTAGTTTGGAGCAAAGGCTTAGTTGATTTGATTTGAGTTGAGTTTAGGAGTTTGAGATTTTGGGATTGATGTTACAAAATCAATCATGTACCTATAATGACCATCCTCTAAATCAAGGGCTATGATAAACCGGGAAATAATTAGGTTTCTCATTACATTTAAGTGACAAAACGAGGTTGGACAGAACTTACATGTTTCAAGCTGTTAGCAAGAATGACCTTACCCCTTGCTTATTGTTTTTTAATGTTAAATGGGTCCCTAAAGCAATGTTGCAACATCGTTCCTGGATACCTTTCTGTCGTTTGTTTCTCTTAATTGTTTCATTTCTTTGATCTCCATAGTCTCCAAGCACTTATTTTCTGTCTGCTTTTCACCCTTGGTTTGTATCTCAGGCCCTTGCCTAGCAACATCTCTTCTTACAAGGTATGCCCTTTGGCACTTGACTTTCTTAATTGTCCCAATGAATGACCGTGGTGATTTCGAATGCTTGTGTCAGTATTTTTTTCAGTTGTTTCGTGTAATGCTTCACATGGTTTTCTTAAGTTGCATGCCATATTTATTAATTGATACCTATTTCTCTTTTGGAATCTGTGTACGGTCTTGGTCTTGGGATTCTTGGGGGCATTCAGAGTCATGATCTGTGTTGTTTCCTCATCAAATGTTGGTGTTATCATTTATAAGGTGTACAATACCTTAATATTGGTTATTTGTCTTTGAAGATGGTTTGATTTGCCTCCTAGGGAAGACAAGAAAATAGTGAACATTGAAATTTATAATTTCAAATTTCTGACTATGTGAAGGGATCTTCAGATGAGTTCATTGATGCCAACATTCAACTTGCCTTGGCTGTTGTCAGGAAGCTGCAAGAAAAAAGAGAAACCAGAGCTCGCCTTGTAAGATGTGACCATCTTATATTTAATTATCTACTTTCACATAAAAAGTATGAGCCGAACATGGTGTTTTCACTTACAGGTGTTTCCTGATAAGCCAGAAAAGCGAAGGGCTTGTCAGATTTTCAAAACAGCTCTTGACTCGGTAACACTCTAATTTGAGCTCAATTTCTTGTTCTTAATAATTATAGGGTTGGGAATGGTGGGGTTGGGTTGGGGTCGGTTCTTAACAAAGGCCGCTGGCTTTTACCTTCTAATTAGAGACTCCTTCAGCCTATTGGCTGTAAAATGAATTTGGCCGTGGGATGTCGTTCACAAGTCAAGGTAACATATGAAGTAGGAAAAAAAGAAACCAATCTTATGTTTACCATTAATTTCATCATTCATATTCAAAGTGCAATTTAAAAGATGATATAGCACACAAATTGAGTTCTGAGTTCTTTCTCCAGTCAAATGTAGTTTATTTTCTTATTTCAATTTGTAACCTCATTTCAGGGAAATAGTTCTGAAGTTAAAGAAGCTTAAGTGTTGACATCCATTGATTCTTATGTGGACTTCTTTGTTTGCTTCTTTCAGATTGATGGTATAACAATAGGTTCCCTTGATGATGTCCCTAGCGGTCCTGTCACCACATTTTTCAAGTCTGTGAGGAACACCTTAGATTTTGATTTTGAAGATGAAAATGAAGGTTAGTTCTAGAAATTTAAAACCAAATGTAGAAAGTCTGTATGTGAACAACATCCGGACTCAATCTGCATATGCATGAAATCAGGTTGAGATGTTTGCATGAAAATGCTACTGAACCTGATGTTTGAAAGAACGGATTGGTGTTGGTACATTTATACCAATTAATTATTACCGTAATAATGAGAGAGGATTGAAGATTCTATGACATTAGAGGTGAAGGAAATCAGTGTGATTATGGAACAATGGCAGTGGTTTGTTGTTTTTAGAAAAGCTTGCGTTGTGCTATTGTAATTTGTCCTTTAAATAATGACCTCCTTCTCTTCTTTTATTTGTTTATCCATGCAAGGTGGGGCTTCTTCTTTTTTTTTTTTTTTTTGCATATTATTGTCAAGAATGCAGAAACACTTGCTGTCACTGTAGAGCAATTGTATGCATTTGTATTAACGTATTCTTTTTTTTTTTTTCCTCTCATATGTTATTCTTTTTTTTTCCCCCTCATATGTTAGAGAAAATGAAGAAAAGAGAAAAATTGAACTAAACATTCTTCTCGATACTTTTGTTTGTAGGTCGTTGGTCGTCCAATGAACCACCATCACTCTATGTATTTATTAACTGCAGTACACGTGAACTTTCTGTTATAGAGAAGTATGTGGTAAGGTTTACTTTAAAAAACTTTGACCAATCATGTATCTTTTTATTTCAATTTTAGTCTTGCTGTTGTCATGTGTGTTGGCTTACCTGCATGCTTTTTACCACTTCTTCCCTTTACTGTAGCTTCATAAGCAGACAGCTCTGATCTCACAAATTTGAATCCTCTCTATTGATTTGTTCTGTATTGCAAACATCGGATAGTTTCTCATCCAACTCTTTAATTACTTGAGGGTCTCGGGCTTGAGCAAAGTTTTAGATATTGATCTAATTGCATAATATATTGGAATTTGAAAACCACTTTAGTAATATAATGAGAATAAATGTTTATATATATATTTATGAAACTTGCATGTGGGCGTGCACATCATTTTTTTTCACTCCTGCTTCCTTGACTCAAAATTACAGAAAATTACTGGTTGCAATTTTTTATTTTTAAAATGTTGATTGACCCACTTTTTATCTGTCACAGTGTTTGATAAATTTTTATTGGTTTTCTATTAAATAAATCTGTATAAATTCATTGGTTTTAACATAATGTTGATCAATCCATGCAAAAATCATGATATCACCAGATGGTTGGACAGTGGACGCATTTGTTTCTTTTAGTAAAACCATTCATGTTTATCTGGGTACTTCTGTTCCATTCAAACATATGCGCTCTAAAATTGTAGGGTCTAGAAATGTTTCTAACTGGCATACACTAAGCATGTCAGTACATTTGCATCTTGCCCTTTTACATATCTGGATATCAAGTGTTTAGTGAACTATTTGATGTCTTTAACCACTTGTTGCTATGTTTCTCTTATAGAGTCACTAATTTTAGTTATAGTTCACATGAAAATTTTATGGTCTGTATAAAATCCTGAAGTTGTGAGCCTCAAATGGACAAGAACTCTGGCTAGTGTCATACTTGCATATCTCTTTCATCATACCTACACTTTGTTACTAGGTAACAGTTTTCTTTGCATGCATCTGCAAATTGCAGAAGCTATATCACCTGCTGTGATTGATTGGAATGTGCAGGAAAAATTTGCCATTTCGACCCCAACACTTCTATTCAATCTTGAACTTGACACATTGCGGTATAGTTTTATGGATTTACTTTGTATACCTAATATCTTATCACTGAAATTGCTCTTGGTTAAATGGAACTTCTTCCTCTTTTCAGTGCTGACTTGGGTCTTCTGGGATTTCCAACCAAAGATTTACATTATCGATTTCTTTCTCAATTCATGCCAGTGTTTTATATTCGAATCAGAGAGTACTCAAAGGTTCTTTTCATTCATTGACCTGACCTGTTTCCTGTCATCTGTTTTATGAAATGTGGTTTTTGATAACAGTTTGTTCTTAATGATGTAAGACAGTAGCAGTAGCACCTTATATCATAAATTACAGTGGAGCGTTATTTCGCCAATACCCTGGTACGGAATTACATTCCTTAAAGTCAAGGCTGAATCTTGGTCCATTTTATTTTTCTTCTGATTTTGGAATTTGCCTTTAGGTGTTAATCCATAACAAAGGGTTACCTGTTTGGATGGTTTCATAGAGGCATATATTTTTTAGATGATTGAAAGAATGATGAAATTGCTAAATCAAGAGTCAAGACTCTTAGCACCAACCTCTGATTTTGGTTGGTTATTTTATTGTAAAAAATTTGTGGCTAAAACTTGGCACAATTAATTTGGAAAAGGCTGTTGTCCTGCCATCTTGGCCTAACAGCCCTGCTTTGGTGCTTCTTTTCAGGCTATTGTTTAGACTCTACTGGCACAATAAGTTGATAATACTAATTTTGAACAGATGGTTCATGGATGATTGCTTTTAGGGGCTTGCTATATTCCATATATATGATTGAGTGTAGATTACCTCATCCTAATCCCTAAACAGAATTCTATGCAATGTTTAAAGTAATTGTACTTCAGTTGATTATAAAGAGGAGGACATAAATAGAAATGCTATATACCTAAGGCATGATTTTTGAGATCATTTTTCATGCAACAAATGGGCTAGCCTTCAATAGCTTCCTCTAAACCAGCCCAACTCTTATTGTCAAGACATGTTCGACCTTTATGTCTTCCTAAGTAGTAACTGATGATGTTTCTTTTCTACAATTAATTGTCTGATTTTCCATCAATATTAACGCACGCCTTTTACCTGATTCCAGGTTGAATAGTTTATTCCATGTCTCTTATCCAACTTAGAATGTGCAGGACCATGGCAGGTGATGCTTAAACAAACAGATAGTTCTTACGCTTGTGTAGCAGAGAGTGCAACACGCTTCACACTTAGTGAGGTGTGTATTTGTTTCGCCTTACAAGCTGGACTTGCTTCCCTTAGCTACCAATAGCTTGGTATATTAATTTGTTTTGGTTGCAACTAACTTGACGCTGGATGACTATTTTATATGCTTCAGACGAAAGAAGAATTGTTGAGGGTCCTCGGACTGCAGGAGGAACAGGGAACCTCACTAGAATTTCTTCGCAGAGGCTACAAGGTAATTCTGTCCAAGTGGTCCTTTTCTGTTCTGCATTGCTATTCTAAGAACCTGTAAGTGCTTTTGATTTAATCCCTGGGTTTGCTATCAACATGCGATCACAAGACATGGAATTCCTTAACATGCATGGAAAAAAACACAAGGATTGTGTTGATAAATGATAATAAAGAAACATATAGATAGGTTTTATTTGCAAAAAGAAACATATTTCTATTACAGACACTTGTTTAATCTGTCAATCGAGAGTCAATTAAACTTTTGAAGCTAAATTGCCTACTTTCTTAGACTACTCTTCTTAGTTGTGTAGTTGAGTAATGTTTGCATATCACAATTCCGCTATTCGACATTTATAGTTAGCAAGAACCAAATATATACAGACATACATATGCATACATTGGCAGCACCTTGTATGTGGCCCTGCTGAATACTTTTTGCCTTCAAAGGTAATTTCCAAACTTTATTATTGTACTATGTCTCTATCATTCCATTCTTTCATCTGTACCCTAAAATCTGGTTCCCAAGTTGGATTTTCAGCTTCCAGTCCCCCTGCTCCTCCAAAGTTTATTCAAAAGGGCACTTGAAATTCCATGATGTTAATTGGGTCATTGGTATTGCAGTCTGCCACTTGGTGGGAAGAAGATGTTGAACTTGAAACATCTTCTGATTGGCGTAGTTGAGTTAGCAGCAGCAACAATCAGAAAAGCACACATCCGAAGCTTATTGAAAGTCAAGCAGCAAAGTTTTACATGGAAATACTCAAGTTTCGTGAGGTTTTTGGAGATTTTTTTGTTGATTATTTCATACTTTTCCTATTCTATGAATTGCGTTCTCACTTTAATCTTTGTTTTCTTTTTTACTAAATTTTATTCATGTATCGTCTGATAAAGTGAATTGGGGGGGGGGGGGGGGTTGTTTGCGGGGCGCACAAACACACGGGGTATTGTAAAGACTGTACAGGAACTTTGGTTATGTTCCATCCTCTGCTTAGTTGCAGAATGAATGAAAAGAAAAGAAGTTGCTTTTTGAGGGTTCTGTTACTGGGGACATGATTGTAAGTTGCAATGCTCAACTGACCCCATTACTGTTTAACCCTTTGGTTCGGACTGAAATACTCGAAATTTAATGAGGGCACATGAAATATTGCAAGAATCGTGAGGTTCATCTTCTTTGGTCCAGATGTTTTACAGAACTCTCAATTCCTGAATCATTGCCTTTGTAAGAAAAACAGCAGAAATGAATTAAAAGACTCGCTACTAAAACATAATTACTCGATCTATAAGTTGTTGAATTTGTTCGAGGAGTTTCATTTTTTTCTTTTTAGTTGGTTGAAACTTTGATCCAATTCTTATAGAGAGAGTCCGAGGTAAAATTGCATCACATGGTATCCAATCTCATCCTTTATCAAGCTAAAAAAATATTGTTTTCTTCTGCGTGTGAAGTTACATCCTGTAATCATAAACCAACCTATAATGAATTTTGGATGGACAAATTTAAGACAAAACTAAGAGTGGTTTGCTTATAGATGGGAGACAAAGGACTTCTCATGTTAATTAACCTAAGTGGTAACCTTATTTAATGCCCCCCACAACTAGTTTGTAAGGCACAACTGATAACAATACAAAATAAAACATAATTTGGTTGAACAGGTTGAAATGATACCCTCTACTTTCCAATTAACAAATATATATAAGAATATACAGACGGATAAAACCATCTCTGCTTCACTAATTACTCTTCACTGAAGTCGGGTTCTGGGGGCTTCTGCAGCTTCTTTAGGCCTCTGGAAGTCATGCTGCGAAGCCTGTGTCCACGAAGAGCATTGGCAGCAAAGCGAGAAGCAAAGATTGTTGCACCTAGTGTGGCGGAGTCATTGTTTACCCCAACTAATGCCCTTTCATCATCATCTTCATCCTCATCTTCCTCACTATAGCCTGCCTCATCCTCATCCACCTCTTCTAGGCGACGAAGTTCTGCTGCTTTCCTCCTGGAATACCGGCGCCAAGCAGTTTGGATAAAGCAGGCAGCCCAAGTCCTCCATTGCTGAGAGTAGAAACGGAAGGTTTGTTGCACCTGCCTACTGTGAAGACGCCTAAATTGAGTTGCAACAAACTTCAGCTCTTCAGCTTCCAAGGCAAAAGCCTCTACCTCAGTCAATGCCCTCACTGTCCTAGTAGATAACGGCAAATTGTCAAGAGATTTAGGGTCTAGTGCCCAAGTCAGAAGCTCCTCACCACAAAAGTCCCCTTCTTTCAATACACCTCGGTTGAAAAATCCACTCCTTCCACCATCTGTAGTTACGCTCTCTAGGCGTCCGCGAATGATGAAAAGCATCTCGTCAACTGGATCCCCTTCACGGACTATGTAAGTCTCCTCTGTATACAAACTTGGTTTCAGTCTCTCGCAAATGGCATCCAACAATCTTTCATCCATATTGGCAAATAGAGGGACCTGCATGACCATCATATTCAAAGACATATTTCCACAAAAATATCGGAAAAAAGCAAAGCAAAGGAGCATCAGTGATAACACTAAAGAATAAAACTAAAGTATACTTACTCTTCTGACCAAATTCAGACAGAGATGCCTCTTGATATCCCTTCTGAGATCTTTTGGTAGACTCTGGACCAAATTCTCTTCATCCACTCCGCGAGTTTCCAACCATTTGTACTGATCATACCGCCTGACTCGCTCTCTAAGATCCTGCGGAAGCAAGCGATGATGCATCCACTGCTCAGAATCGCGCCTTTTGATCCTCATCTCCTCTAGACGAATAGTTAGAGACTGAAGGTATGTCTGTTGCAACCACAAGACAGCTCAAACATCAGTATCATTAGTCAAGCTGTTTCTTCTGTTTGATGAATTAAATTGAATCGATATCAATTATGGTTAGATAAGCTAAAAGCATGATCCTAAATAAGGTCGTAACACGAATTCGAAGACATGAGTAGCCTCAGCATTCATCAAAATAATTAGAGAGACATCCGAGACAAATCATTAAAGCACATGCATAGAAGGGAAAATTTCAACATACCTGCATATTTCCAATCAGAAGTGCAAAGAGGATAAGCCCAGAAATAGCTAACAGTATGGAAAAGATAACTTCCAAAGGGTAGGTGCTTGTTTGGAGACCCTGACCAAGTGTACTGTAGAAGGTAAAACATAAAATGCCTTGGGTAAATAAAACTCCAAGAACAGAAATAATTTACGAATTCTCTTTTTAACACCAAAGAATCCAAACTTGAATGCCCATATAACAGTTGGAAATTAAATGATTGTTCAAACATTGAACATGTGGAATAAGTTTGTCTTCAGAAAGTTTATAGTCTTCATAGAATACTTAATCATAGCTCAGAAGTATCAGTTGATAAATAAAAAATAAAATGCTCTCCAACAGTGACTGTTACTATTGGATTGAAAAGTTTCCGTAAGCCATGTAGCTCAGTGATATATTGGAGACAGATAAAAGAAACAAAGAACAGCAAATTCATTATTGTAACTTCTTATGTTCTTCTGATACTTGTGCGCATGTAGCTCAGTGGACTAAACTTAAATTTTGATGAATTGAACAGGAAATTAGGCTTTTAGCAGAATCATGATAGCTCGAAATTTGTTGAAAATGCGACAAAGATATGTATTTAGATATCCTCGTGTATTATGAACATAAAGGCCAATTAAACAAGATACCTCAAATTTTGCAGGCCCCACCATAAACAGTAAAAGAATTTGGAGACAAACTTCCTGGATGACACAATGTCTGATGACATTGCCTGGAAGTAGATTCCGTAATTAAATCGTGAATTATCATCTTCGTCGACAGCACATTTGTTTCCAAGAACCTTCTCACTTATCCTTCGCCAATCGTGGAAACCTGGCAGTAATTTATTGCCACAGTACAAGAAGTCTATGTTACATTTCCCACTTAGTAAGCAAGCTTCTCTCCAGCATGTGTCTTTACGTTCGATGGCTAGCAAATACCAGAAAGCTCCTGCTATCTGTAAAGTTAGACCTGAGTCTGGTCAGAAAACTTTGATAAATTGCTCCACGGGCATCTTTAACGTATCTTAGCAATATTTGGTTCAAGAGAAAACAAAGAAATTTAGATTCTACAATCGGTAGATGATCTGTTGATGTTGGAAGTTCATCAACTTATTATGCAACATTTAGGATTTGGAGCCATTTCCCTTGCATTACACTTATATATTCAAGTTAAGAACATCACAGAAACTAACCAAAACTTTGTTGGGGGTGATTATCTTGATTTCTCCAGGGATTAAAGAACTTTGACCGAAGTGGGAGTAAAACACAATGCTGCTACTCCTATCCAAATATCCAAGGACTAACAGAACTAGTAAAACCTAGCTGCATAACAGTAATTACTTACATGACTGGCAAGCATGTACCAAAGCAGATAGTACGCAGCACCGGCAAAAGCACTCTCAGCGAAGGAACCAGCACTCTTTTTCAGGTCTGAACCCAAAGGCAAAAAGCGAGTAAACCTTGGGATGTATTGAACAAAAACAATAATTAGCAATGCCTGCTTCGTAGCTAACACCTCCGAGCCCCTCTTTTTATTGTTAAGATATTTCCATACCACTATCTGCAGAAGAAGATAATTTTAGCATGTACAGCTACCATATAGAATCAATGGGACCTATTCATAACAAAGAACAAACAATATAGGGCTAAAAAGTTAAAATTTAAGAATTCAGTAAGTCTAGAAAGAAGAGAAGTATGCTTAAACCTGTGGCAGAGGTAGCACAGAGAGAAAATCAACAATAAAATAACGGCTTAAGTATCGGGAGGCTATCTGTCCTGGATCGATCACAAGTTCACCTCGTCCGAAAACCCGTGATGATGGCGCAACATAGGCTGTTCGAAACTGAAGAGCCATGCGAATCAGATAGAAAACATCAAGTACTGTCCTCATAGTTGTGATTGTTGCAGCTAACTTTGTATCCATACCCAGACACATCATTTGATAGTTGAAGACAGGAAGATAGAAAAACAAAGGATCAATAGATACTGATAAAATGCATGAAATGACCAAAAGCCTATTCCATAACAGAAGAGATTTGTCTTGAGGGTCAAATATCTTCTTCTCAGACACCTTAAGGTCCTCTGGAAATACTGCCCTAGAGACTTCGGATTTAAGTGTCTTTCCGATTGTTAACAATCCTTGTGATCCTTTTTTCACCCCATACCTAAAAGATTTTGATGTGTGTTTCTTTCCATGCCCATTTATGTTGAAACCGTCTATATTAAATCTCAATTTCTTCATTCCTTTCTTATCAGAAGTCACTGATAATGAATCAAAATCATCCAACCTGCAAGTTCCAAAATATGCCAACATTGAGTTAAATAGATCACGATAAATTGTTGCAATTTACCATTAAAAAAAAAAAAAAAAAAAAACTCAAGACCAGTAGAAGAAGGCAACAGAAAAACATGAAAAGCACATATCATTAAGATGAACGTAAGAGGATCTGATGTACCTTACAAACTTCTCCTTCTGGCCACCAATATATTGTGACTTGTAACCACAATCAAACATTTTGCAGAATTGGGAACATAGATCGATACCTTTCAAGGCAAATTACTAACTAACATGGTCTAACGTCACTCAATAGAAGCTCCTGCACAGCCAAGACACAAAATTTTTAAGATACTGCTGCATGGAAATCCTTTTACATGTGACATATTCAAAAAAAAAAAAAAAAAAAAAAGAAGACAAATGCATTGTCTCTTTGAATAGGAAAAATTTGCACCAACAAATGTAGCAAAATACCCAAAATGTATATGTGCCATCATGGAGAAAAGTATCCATTTTCTAAACACAAATTGATGAAAATATCAACGACAATTTTACTATTATAGGTCTTCCATCTGCCCCTCTTCAATGGATCTCTTTCCTTTCCTTTCAAACAATAGGATTCTGTTTTATTTAAGAAAGGACTCAGACCTGAATTTCGTAGGAGATGAGGAAGACAGCACACACGAATTGAGTTATGGCTCATTGGCAAGGACTCTAACCCTACGATATCATCCCTCCACGATGGCATTGGCATTGATAATATTGACATGAAAAAACTAAAATATTCCAAATCATATAGAACCCTTTATTTTCTTTCTCTTACACATTAAAAGAAAGATTTCTTGATAGAAACATGCATATCTGATTCCAAGATGCATACATATGACTCATAAAAGATGGAGGAGATATTGAAACTCAGTTACATTCCAACAAAATGCAAAATTTTGTTATAAGAAAAAATTAAATGAACTTACGTAGGTAATCTTTTAGCTTGAATTACACAAATTACTGAGCCAACGAGATTTTGAAAAAAAATATATATATTTGAAGAGAGAGAGAGAGGCAGAAAAAAATATAGAGGACAAAGAAAGGTGAATATAGAGGATTTTTGGCAATGTTCGAGCTAGACAGGTAAAACGGTTGCACAAAAAGATTCTGAATATAAGGTGCTGCTCAAGCCATGTCACTCAATTGACCGACATGACATGTATCAAATTTTGGAGAAAAATCTTGTTCCAGTGAAGTTATAAATGAAATAAAATGTTATAATTAAGCCTTACGTATAAATTTAATTGTCAAATATCAATACCAGAGATCTAGATCTTTCAGAAAAAAATATATCTTGTATCATATAACCAATTGCATCAAAATATATATATATATATATATATATATATTACCACAGATAGGAGGACTTTGCTAGTAGGAGTTAGAGAGTTAATGTTATTAGGTTATAGTTAATGAGATATAAATATGATTACATTATCATGACTGATTGAATTGATCACTGTTACGATAAAAAGTTATTTTAAACTCAAATACTATAAAAAGAAGACATCAGTATATATTATATAGCATAATACAAAAAATTATTCATGATCTATCCTAAGAGGTGATCTGTGTGTTCGATATTAACGAAAAGCTTTGTTATATAGCAATGAGATTAAATTAAATTAAATTATTTGGCCTGTAAAATAACTTCTTTATCTATAGTTTTCTTTTAAAATTCGTTGGAACCATTAGGAATTCAGACGTTAATTAATAAATTCATTGTCTCTGTGTGTATATATATAATCATGCATGCATTGTACAAAGTGAAAATAATTTTTGAACAATTCTAAGTATATGTTAATGTAACGGTCCGTTTTCATCTTTAATTTTTTTAAAAAAAACCAAATATATAGGATATATATAAATTTCTATAAACTTCAGTAATTTCCACCTGCATATTTGAATTTATATACTCTGTAGACATCATATCAAAAATTAAATTTCATCATTATCATCTTCCTTAATTCGGAAGGAAGGGTAAGGAAAAATCGTATTAGTTGGTCACGCTTATCCAAATTGTGATGTACGTCAAAATGGGCTAACAAAATGCTGGCACCGAGGACCCAAATTGTGATTTACAAGCACGGGCCCAGATGAATCTAATAATACAATAAGCCCAATGGTTTTAAGGTACCCTTTGTTGCTGTTGTAGTTTTCCGGGTCGGATACAACCTTTTTATTTCATAAGGGCGATATGGAAACTCGTTTTCATTTTATTTTATTTTGGCACCAAATTTATTAAATTTATTTTTTATTTTTTCATTTAGACTTAAAATATTTTAATATTTTCCATTTTTCAATATTTCTTTATTCTACAAAATTAATTTCAAAAGTTTATATTTTCTAAAACTTTGTTTAACAATATTTATTATTTTAAAGTTTTTTTAAAAATAAAATTTACCCTTTTATTTTTTTTAAAAAAAGATTTTAATCAAAAAAAGTTCTAAAAGTATAAGATTCAAATATGAAGAAAAATTATATATCCATGCTTGAGTACTAACAGGCGCAGTATCCAAAAAGTAGCACCATAATCTTAACAAATTGAGGAAATGCACAAATTTGACAAGCAATAGAAAAAAAAAATACGGTTCATACTGTCATGAAGAATAAATTATAAATTATTTTTTTTAGTTTTGAAAAGTGAGTTAAATTAGTTCTATATGTTTTAAAAAATAATTATTTTTTTCTTAATTTTTCAATTTTTTTACTTATTCTTTTATAAAAAAAATTATTTTAATTTTTTATTTTAAGAAATAGAAAGAAAAGTAAAAAAATATAGAAGATCATTGACGAGAAAAAAAGATATTTTTTAAAATAAAATAATATTAAATTTAACATAATTAGCATTAATTATGCAATTAACAATCATTTTATCTTCTTTTATTGCTCTACAGGCCACAATGGCATACCTTATTCCGCCTCGTTAGGAATGGCAATGGGGTTGGGTAGGGCGGGGATCACCATCCCCATCCACACCCCACCCTTGAAAAACTTGATCCATTTTCGTCATGTGCTTCGAACAAGCAAAATTTGTCATGCCAATTGCCATCTCTGCCTCAAACGAGGTAAATGGGATAAAAAAAATTGTTTTTTTTTTTCATCTTATTTTATTTTATTATACTATCAAATTTTAAACTATAGTAAAAAAATAATAATTCATATAAAAAATAAATTTTTAAAGTCATTAATCATAAATTTTATATAAGGTATAATTATAATTTTAGGAATAAAAATCATAAAATGAGCAAAGAGGGTGGGGGCGGGCAAATATCATCCCGGCCCTTTTTTATTCACGGGGCACCCAACTCCACCTCGTTCCTCAGTCAATAGGAAATCTCCACGTTGATCGGAGCAGGATGAAACGAGACTCTATCGAGACGAGACACATACGTCTGGCGAACCATATTGAAGACTGGCTACACGCGACGACAGTGCTGAATATAACCGGATTGCAAAGGAGGCTTCGGAACTAGAAAGGTTACAAGTTCTGCGTGCATGTTCTGACATTTGCAAATACCAAGAAAACATGAGTAGTATTTTTGTTTTCATGACAACAACGGGACAAACTATCAATTGTTTCTTCGTTTTGTTTTAGCTTTTCCTTTTAAATTCTTTTTTGATGTTGTGGATTGTTTCTTATTACAATATTCCCCAACCATATCACGAATCTTTGACGTTACTGATCACAAGCCTTGTTTCGATATTGACTGTTGGATTTGGAAACTTTGAATTATAAATATGCCTATTAAACATTGTTGAGGATGTAATAACAAATACAATATTCTCTAGATTGAAGATTAATAATCCTAATTGGAGTTCTCTCATATCTATGAACAACTTGACAAATTTTGGTTGCCAAAGACACCTGTTTTCATGGACAAAGGTTATGGCGATGAAAGTCACAAGACATTCCGTTTCGTCCCTTACGTGCCATCTTTTAGGCTTTTGGCCACTGAATTTTTGGATTTGGTAGCAATAGATGTAGAGTCTGTGGTGACCAACTTGATCACTTGGGATCTTGACAATGAAACTCAGTAAGCTCACATGTTTCCTTTAACTGACCATATTCGTACTCAAAGCTATAAATTTCAAATTTTATTTAAAGAGTTAAAATATAAGGAGAAAAACAATATCTTATTATTGAAGCAAAGTTTTTGTGTTGTGATGGAAACAACCAACTACTTGCAGGAAAAGATGACTTGTTCGTTTTCAACTTTGAAGTGATAAAAGTACAATTATGAACCATCAATACATTTCAAAAAAAGAAACAAAAAAAGGAGATTCTTTTTTGTTTTGGAGAGTACAATTATTGAACACGCAATTCTAGTTTTAGAAATAACATTGCTTTTGCAGACAAGAGAGTAATGTAAGGCACATGCTTGCTATGCCAACAGGATCATCTTCACCAAATTTTCCAACTATTTAACAGATGTTAGCTCCAAACTCCAGACCCATCAAACTAACCATGGTCAAAACAAAATATTTAACCGTAGTTAGTTAAGCTGCTTTCCAGTCTCCTCTACTGCATGAAGTTGCAAATCCATGCGTACCAGTGTTGTGTGTTTGGGTTGGTGTGTTGAGTCTGAATGCTATCATTTGAGCACATAAGTGGAATGTTTAACGACAAATTTTGCTTCTAGATTCTGATTTGGGCTGTGTTTGTCGTTTTGGTATTTGAGTACCAGTTTGAGCTGCTTGTTTTTGCTCTGCTTCAACTGAGCTCTATGCCCTTTTGTTCTTCTACATCGTCCTCTTTCAAAAACATTTCTGCAAAACCCCACCTAGAGTAACCACAGGAATGTTCAAGTGCAGCACAACTCGATTTGCTTTGAGTCTTCTGTTATAAATTCAAACGCTGCACAAGTCTTTTTTTTTTTTTTGGGAAAAAAAAACTAGAAGATTTATTTATATTTGAAGGCAAGATTCAAAGTTTATTTTCTTCTTCTTCTTCTCTTTCGTTTGTTTTGATTAAAGTTTTCTCTTTTTTTATAATTTTCTGATTTCGTTCTTCTGTTCAATGTGAAGCTAACCATTTCACTTGGTACTCGATGTTTAGGTTCACATGCGGAGAAAAAGAAAAGTCGAACACTCTGAATGCTTGCCAAGTTTGTTCTCTTTTGGCATGGGAGGGGTTGGAAAGACAATAGGTAAATTATTTCTTCTAACATTCAACATATGCTTCTTTATGAGATATCTGATTGATTGCTTTTCAATTTTGAGAAATTATTATTCATCCCCCAACCCCAAAAGAAAGAGTTTCTTCTTCACTAATTAATCCTAAGTTGGTCGGACTGCTTAGTTGTAAATCGTAACTTCATGAAACCATCAATTAGATTAAGCCATGTCATTATTAAATTTAAGTCATTATTTTAACAAATTCGTCTAATGAATTGAACATCATATGGACAGGCTTGGCTTCAGTACTCCGCTGTCGATTGCTGGAGAGTTCTTTTTCAGTGGTATGGATTTCGCACCAAGTTTCTGCTGGTAATAATTCTTTTAGTTGAGTTCTACATTTTTTCTTTAATTCTAACTGAATATACATTGGGAAAGAACCAAAAGATCACAAAAACTTCATTTCCAAGAGGTTCAACTGAGTTTGGTGCTTCTTAGAAACAAAGAACACTAGGATCAGATCACTTGATTTTTAAGAAGCTGTTAGATCAATACATGGCAAGTTCGATATACTGCATGACTACAACTCCTCCTCAGGAACTTAGATAACTACTAAAACTTGTTTTTACCGCTTTTGTTACAGATGCCATTAATTAAATTAATTTTTTCTTACAATTTTTAAATACTCTTTAACAAGAAACAGAATGAAGCAGTTTTTAAAAAAGAAAACAAAATTCTCTCAAAAGCTTCGATTCCCTTCTCTTTTATCTCTCTAATCTAAAGTTACCCAATGAAAAAAAGATAATAGTGTTATATATATATATATATAGATGCTTTCGCATTAGCTAGCTGAAGTACAAGAAATTGATATTTATTAATGTGTGCTTAGGTGGGTGATGAGCAGAATTTGCATCTTGTAGAGGAAATGCAAGCCACTTGTTTTGATAACCAAGACGAGGAGTAAAACTCAAAAACACATTCAATAGATGGTTAAGTATTTCTTTTATACTATCTGCCATTACAGCAATGTTTTTAATAAAAGGTATTTGCTTGATGCTTAAAGCTAAATGTTTTTTATGCGCTCTGTAAGAATTGGAAATTAGAAGGGCAAGGAGTTTAATAAATGAGATAGAGATGCCTAATTACGTGATTTTCAATGTTCTGATATGTGGGTTTTGTAAAGAAACTGAATTAGTCTCTCTCACTTGAAATGGATTAACATAGCATCCATTCAGGAGAGGAAATACTTCCAGCTTCGCCATATCAACAAGATGACGAAGAAAACTCGAGAGTAGTAATATTAACAAAAATTGTATACTAACTTCCTACATGAAATAATAATAATAATAATAATAAAATACAGCATAACTAATTTAAAAATATATGTAAAAAGGATCCAGCTTTGTATTCAAAGTCCCATTTGGTGATGATACCCATGAAACCTTAACTTAGACTACCAGAAGTCGTCATGCTTACATTGCCTGGCCTCTGTTGGTACTCGAACTCCTCAGAATTAAGAAAGCAATTAAGCTTCAGAATAGAACTGAGCTTGACCGCAAATTGCAGACCGTTTATGACACGCCAGTCTTCGAATATGGATGCAACATATGTCTTTAGAGTATTCAACTACATATGACCAAATCTCATAAATAGCTATACAAAAATTTTCTACGCGGCACAAGTTCATCCCTTAGTGAGGGTTGGTGGAGTTTACTAATTAGAACTTGGAAGTAAATGCAAGACTTCCACTTGGAAAGTAAACAGAACGTGAATAAGGCCTCCAGCCTCTCTCTCTCTCTCTCTCTCTCATATATATATATATATAAGATGCTGAGCATGCATTCTGCTCTATGCTGCATGCAATTTTACCCTAATAGAAAGCGCTGACCAAAATCATGGGAGGTTCATATGTTCAATTTCTAGTCTTTTTCTTCTGCTTTCTGAACACGAGAAATACATTTGGATGCAGTTCCAGCACAAAAGAGCTTAAAATGCAGTGCATAGAGAGAGAAAAACAAGCTTTGCTCTTCCACCTAATGTAAAAGCATTGAATCTCTCCAAAAGTAAGTTTTCAGGAACTGCATCAAATTTATGTTCCAAATGACAGGTAAAAGATTGACTTATATTGAGCTCTCTGATAATTTTCTATCCAGATAACTTCCTGATTGTTGAATGCGTTGGAAAGGACTGGCCATCCTTAATTTGGCAAATAATAATTTTCCTGAAGCCTCCCTACCTCATTTGGCTCACTAGTTCAGCTTCAGACCTTGCATTTACGAAACAATAGTTTTTCTGGAGAACTACCCCCATCTTTAGATAAATTTAGTCATTTAGAACTTCTAGATGTTGGAAAGAATAAACAAACTACTATCTGTTAAAATTCCAGAATGGATAGGCAAGAATCTTTCGAATTTGATTGTTTTTCGCCTAGGATCAAATCAATTTTACGGAACCATTCCTTTGCACCTCTGCCATCTAGCTATTTTACAAATAGACTCCTCCCACAATAACATATCGGGAAGTATTCCACAGTGCCTAGGTAATTTCAGTACCATGGCAAAAGAGGGGAGGAGAGTTGAGACCTTTATTCATGGCCTCCTTTCTCCTATAGGCCTAGGATTGTTTTATGTGGTTCCATATGTTGACAACGTTCTGGTTGTCTGGAAGGGAATGGAGCTTGAGTATGGAACAACTTTTGGCCCAGTACGAAAGAGCTTAATCAGATCTTTCAAGTAACAGTTTTGAGTGGGGAAAGGAAATCCGTGGTGGAATAACTGGCCTTCTAGGCTTAGCTGCACTAAATTTGTCCCACAACGAATTGGCTGGAATCATTCCTCACAAAATTGTTCATTGCAATCTCTTGATTTGTCAGTTAATCAACTCTCCGGCCGACTTCCTGATGGCTCCGTGACTTGATTATCTAAGTCATTTTAACTTGTCAACAACTTATCAGGCAAAATCCAATTGAGCACTCAACTGCTGAGCTTTGATGTTTATTCTTTTATGGGGAACACAATGCTTTGCGGGCAACCACTTCCAAGTGAGCGTTCAGGAGAACAAGCTTATCATCCATCCAATCAAGGTAGCAGCAAACAGGATAGCAACGTCGATGAGCTTATAAGCAGTGGAGTTTATATTAGCATGGGACTTGGATTTGTTACAGGATTCTGGGCAGTTTGTGGGACATTATTGTTCTACGTGCCTTCTTCCGTTTGATGAACCATATTGAAGATTGGTTATACGTGACAACAGTGGTGGATCTAGCGAAAATAAGGCTTTCGAACTAGAAGCTATTTAACCAACTCTGCTTGACTATTAATAATACATTATCATTATACACATACTAAAACAAATTATAATTTCACTTCATGCTACAGTGGTCTTTATGTTTTTTTATGGTTGGGCTATGCTTACCGTCCAGACACATGGGTCTGGTTGTCTCTAAGTCTATACAGAAAGACAATGTGTGAGCCCAGCCCAACCTCTTTTTTCTTTTTCCTTTTTTATGCTTTTATTTTATTTTTTTATTGCTTACTCAAAATAATTTTTTCTTCATCATTAAAATTCATTTTATTTTTTATCAATTTTTTCATAATACCTTTAAAAAAAAAAACAAATTAGAAAAAAAAGATAAAATATAAAAAGGGACTAAATAATTAGTTTTTAAACTAAGAGGGACTAACTAATTCGTTTTTAAACATTAATCGTTCTTTCTTATGTAGGAAGCAATAGTAATAATCTGTGTCTGACTTGAGATTATAAGAGAGAAGAATAAAAGCAAGATTTGTATAGGTTCTCTGTTTGTTCCCGTGTATCCTCTCCAAATACTGTTACGGCATTGCTTTTCCTGTTTATTTAACATTGTAATTTAGAAAAAAGCAGAATTGTGGTCCTATCATTTCTTCACAAGAACAACAGAAATTTTTACCTTTGAGTAACCCGTCAATTACAAGTAGGGGTGAGCAAACGGTTTGGTTAACCGAAAATCGAATAAAACCGAACCGAATTATGAAATTTGGTTCGGTTTTAAATATAAAATTATACAATATAAAATCGAATCGAAAAAACCGAAATTATTTCGGTTCGGTTCGGTTTTTAGAAAAAAATTTCGGTTTCGACCAAAAACCGAAATAAATAGGCAAAAAATTTCTAATTTCTAAACACATAACTTTTCAATCTTCATTCTTGTTAAAACCGAAACACGCAGATGTGAAGTAAATTTTGAGGACCGTTGGGGTAAGAAAAGAAAGTGACATAGTGTAATTAATTGGGATACGGCGTGTTTGAATAAGCAAATTTATTACACTTGGACTCGTTTTCATTAAAACTTAATTAAAATCTTCAAGGGCTTTTGTGATTGTTTATAAAAAAGATTAATTGATAACAAGATGTTATTTCATTGGCCGATGGACTAAGTGCTAGTACAAAATATCTCTCTATAATGATTTTTTTTTTACAACAAAATATTTTAGTTAAAACCGAAATATTTTGAAACTAAACCGAATTTATTTCGGTTCGGTTTTGGTTTTTATTTTTTTTAATTCGGTTAACCAAAAATCGAATCGAATCGTACAAAATCGAATCATTTAACCGAATGCTCACCCCTAATTACAGGTGCTCTTTCAAATTAATAAACTGAGTCATTAATAAGTGCAAAAATTCTAAAATGATAATAACTAAGGTACAAGAACCAGTGTCAGTGACAAAATTAACTTATATATATAGGAGATCATGAAACAACAGAAATAATCACTACAGCAAGCCAAAAAGAAACGATAGCAGAACTTTTAGTACCCTGAAATATAAAAAATTGGAAGATGTGGATGAGAGAAGGAAAGAGCTGCTGTGCGGATGTACAGCTACAATTGCAAAGAGAAAGACACAAAGGCAGCGTCTTATCAACTGAAAGAAACTGACCGAGTTTTTTAGGAAGTTCGTTTGGGCTTGTTTATGAAAGCTTCAGCCCATCCAATATAATGTGGCCCAGGAATTGGTGCAAACCAGAATAGCCTAAAACACCAATGTTTAGTGGATGGGCTGAAAGTTTCTGTTTTTGTTGACTTCTACGTTCCCTCCTTAACTTGATAAATAAAGTTCAGTGGTTAAGATTTAAAATTCCCACTTGAAGGTGACAGGTCCAAATCCTATAAAAGATGAAATGAAGTTTAAGAATGTAAGAGGACGACTTCAATCCTGTAGTTCAAAACCCATTAACTTTTTTATTAGCTAATAAATAAATAAATAAATATCTTAATTAATAAACCCATTACATACCATTTAAATTTTAAAGTGATTGAAAATCAAAGAAGAGAAAAGCTTGGTATCAAATTTGGAATCCAATTTTACTCATACATAGGATGAAAAAAAAAAAAAAGAGTGAGAAGAGTTACTCTCTATGACGTAGTCCAAAATGTCTTCTACTTTCGTGGCTTGTGCAAACAAAGTGAAGATATAAAAATATGATGAAGACATCTATAAAGTTTTTAAATCAATAAAGACATTACAGCAGAATCACGTAATTATTTTCCGTTTTTATTTGACAAGAGAAGAAGCTTTCTATTATTTTTTTCCTTCTTCTTTCTTATGTGACTACTTTATGTTACTTTAGGGATAATCATCCAGACAACTAAAGCAGCAAAGCAATTGCGGTTTTGTTCTTATCCCATTAAAAGGGGAAATGGCAAAAGTAGGTTTGTTTGGTAAAACTTGGATCAATTTAACTCTCAACCTTTTAAAACGCAATTAAGCATAGCTAATACGATGGAAATTGTCAAAAAATTATTTCAACTTAAAAATTTTAATAAAAATTATTTCAATTTAAAAGTTTAAGTTGTTAAGTGAAGTTTTATAGATAATTTTATATTATTGTCTAACATATTTTTTCTAAGTAAAAGACTTTTAAAATTAAAATTTGTACGGACTTATCATTACTATTTTTTATGTTTAATTATTTAATTAAAAAAA